CCCACAGGTCCCTGAAAGAGAGGCCATATCCTGGCATTTCACCTAGTGAAATGCCTAGTGCATTTGTGCAGTTAGCTCTCAGGGGCTGCAGTTCCACTAGCGCAGCCTCTCTCAGACCTAGGGCCCAGCCAGCAAGCCATCACTCACTGCACTCAAGTCATCCTGAATTCCTGTCCCAGGAGCAAGGCCTTCCTCCACCTCACAGACACATAGCTCACAATCACAAGGACAGTCAGTTAATGTCAAGGTGGAACCCACAAGTGACCCCAGAACTGAGGAGCCTGAAACAGTGGAATTCCAAGGTTAAGGCCAGATTGGGCTCTATGACAGCCTGTCTCAAAAGAGAAAGAGATAAAGTGAAACAAACAAAAAAGGCTATAAATTGAAGGGCCCTTTAATGTTCTGGGTTTCAAGTTTCCTTTCAATTAGTCAAGAGTTTCCAGAGGCTTTGAACCATGCTCATCATGATGAACATTTGCAAGGACAGCTGATTGAACAAAAGGGAAAACTGTGTGATACACCTCAGCTCCCACTGACACCAGGACGAATGAAGAGGTGTTGGAGAGGCATGAAAGATGGAGGAGCGAAGAGGCATGTAGGTGTGTGTGTGTGTGTGTGTGTGTGTGTGTGTGTGTGTGTGTGCTTGTTTTGTTTTTTTTTTTAATTGGGGGGGCACTGCAGGGGTGAGGGGAGGATATGGAGGGAATGAGAGGTGAGCACAATTAGAATGCATGATGTGAAATTCCCAAAGATTCAATAAAGAAATTATGTTAAATAAAAAAAAAGTCAGGGTTCTGGCCAGGTGGTGATGATGCACATACCTTTAGTCCCAGCACTCAGGGCTAAACATATGTAAGCAGTTAAGAGCATAGCAGGGGGGCTGGAGAGATGGCTCAGTGGTTTAGAACACTGGCTGCTCTTTCAGAGGACCTGGGTTCAATTCCCAGCACTCACATGGCAGTAACTGTCTGTTACTTCAGTTTCAGGGGATCTGACACCTTCACACCAATACACATAAAATAAAGTTAAATAATTTTAAAAAATTGTAAAAAAAAAAAAAAAAAAGAGCATAGGCAGGAAGATTTCTGTGAATTCAAGCCCTGCCTGGTCTACAGAGCTAGTTTAAGACAGCCAGAACTATTACACAGGAAACCCTGTCTCAAAAAACAGGAGGGGGGACCCTGAAAATAAATATAAAAAAAAAATCAAAGGCTAGGATTTCAGCCTGAGGTTACGGCTTAGTATTAGAACACATGCTTGGCATATGCAGGCACCTGGGTTCGATCCCTAACACTGAAACAAACAAACAAACAGAAAAAGCAGCAGCCTGGCATGTAATCCCTTACTTTTAGCAATAGAAGCAGAACCAGTTCAAAGACAAGCACAACTACACAGTGAGACTGTATCAAAAACAAAACAAGGGGATGGAAGGATGTCCCAGTGTTTAAAAAGACCCAGGCTTGATTCCCAGTACCTACATAGCAACTCAAAACCATTAGTCCCGGGGATCTGAAGCCCTCTTCTTGTCTCTGTGAGCACTTGGTTGGTACATACATGGTACAGACAAAACAGCCATACACATAAAAAGCCAAGCATGGTGCATATACCTTCAATCCCAGCACTTGTGAGTTTGAGGCCAGTCTAGTCTACATATTGAGGACTATTCTTTTTAAATTTTATTTAACATTTTTTCATTTATTTTACATGCCAACAACTTCCCCCTCCTTCCTCTCCTCCTGTTCCCTCCCCAACTCCCATCTACCCTACCTCCAACCTCTCCTCCATTCAGAATGGGGCAGGCCTCCCCTGGGCTTGAACAAAGCATGGGCACTTCAAATTGAGGTAGGACTCCTCCCCATTCATCAAGGCTGGGCTAGTTAATCCAGCATGGTGAACGGGTTCCCAAAAGCCAGCTAAGCACCAGAGACAGGTTCTGATCTCACTGCCAGGAGCCTTACAAACGGACCAAGCTACACAACTGTCACACATATAGAGGGCTTAGGTCGGTCCCATGCAGGCTTCCTAACTGTTGGTCCAGATTCCATGAGCTCCCACTAGCTCAGGTCAGCTGTCTCTGTGGGTTCCCTGGTCATGACCTTGACCCCACTGCCTCTTCAGGACTCCCAGAGCTCTGCCCAGTGCTTGGCTGTGGATCTCTGCATCTGCTTCCATCTGGTACTGGATGAAGGCTCTCTGATGACAATTAGGGTAGCCGCCAATCTGGTTATTGTAGATGGCCAGTTCAAGCACCCTCTCCACTATTGCTAGGAGTTTTAGCTGGGGTCATCCTGGATTCCTGGGAGTTTCCCTGGCATCAGCTTTGAGGACCAAACAAAACAAAACAAAAAACCTAACAGAAATCAGACATTTGTCTCCGGCTATTCTGTTTTCCACTGCAATGGTCCCTTTGGTCACTGCCCACTCTTACACTTGAATGTACCTCAAATTATTCTGTAATAATCCCCATCTCCTACACTAAAAAAGCAAAAATCACTGGAGGTCTATGTTGCTCCAAGCTAGCCCCAAACTCCTGGATTCAAGAACACCTCCTACCTTCCTAAGCAGCTGGGACTGTGTGCCTTTCAAGTTTCCACTGTCAGCAGGGCAATGCCCAGAGCCTTGGAAATAACTATTGGTCTGCAGGAGGGATAAAGGTCTCTGCTCCCATAGGAACCCTGGCTCAGCTGTTGGGGTTGACCTAGAAGCTCATTTCCAATGGGTCAGGTGCTGTATCATCAGTTGGCCAGGGAAACCCTCCATAAGGGTGAGGCACAGCTTTTGCTAGCGGTCAACAGACAAAGCAGAGATTTAAGGAAAGCAATGGAGCAGTGGTTCTCAGCCTTCCCAACACTTCAACCCTTTAATACAGCTCATGTTGTGGTGACCCCCAACCATAAAATGTTCATTGCTACTTCCTAACTGTAATTTTGCTACTGTTATAAATAGTAATGCTAACATCTGTTATGTGACCCCTGTGAAAGTGTTGTTTGACCCACTCAAGGGGTCACAAACCGAAGGTTGGGGACCAGTGTACTAGACAGTGTACTAGACACAACTAGAAGTTGTGCAGCCCTAGGCACTTCAGAACCCATCTGCGGGGTCAATCCAGGAAGTGACTCCAAGGACTGTCCCGAGGAGGTTAGCTAGGAAGGTGACACACTCTACTTTCAGAGGAAAAACAAATCCCATTCACTTCCTTAGGGGTCTTGGTCTTAAATACTAAAGCTCACACATGCTTAGAGCCTCTAGTTGTCCCTTGAAATGGAAGTGGTGATTAGACAGAGGACAGGGGGCAGAGGGACTTCTTTTAGAGACTTCTCCCCAGGGCACTTTCAACAAGTGGCTGGGCAGTGCTTGAGCTGGGATGGGCACTCTCCAGTCTGAGCTTCCATAGGGGCCTTCTCAGGGCAACTTTCCCTACTTCCAGTTAGCCCAGAGTCCAGCGCTGGTCCCCAGGAAGAGCTAGGTTATTTATTATTTTACTGTGGCATCCCCAAACACCAGATCTAAAGCAATGGTTAAGACCCATCTGCTGGCAAAGGGGGGGGGTGACCTAAGTCAAGTAAAGAAAGGCGTATCACCCAGGTTCTGGTTCTTGATTTTAGTATCATCCAATGGAACAGTGGCTATATAGGCAGGGGTAGTTACAAAGAGGTATGTTATTGAACACAGGAAGTGTTATATTCTACACAAAACCAAAATTATGTAAATGAAGATAACGGGCCCAGCCAACCTCCCATACTCCCTGTTCCCACCCCACATCCCCAATGTAACCCTCCCTACTACATTTATATACTCTTCCCCAGAATTAAAAAAACTGTCTCTCCCTTCCATCCCAGTTTCCAACATCCTACCTTCAGTTAAGGGAAGGAAGGCTCCCTTAAGAATCATGGGATGGGCCAGGCGGTGGTGGCGCACGCCTTTAATCCCAGCTCTTGGGAGGCAGAGGCAGGCGGATCTCCACGAGTTCAAGGCCAGCCTGGTCTCCAGAGTGAGATCCAGGACAGCCATGGTAGTTGCACAGAGAGAAACCCTGACTTGCAAAACTAAACAAAAAACAAAACAAAACAAAAATCATGGGATGGACATCCCCTCCCCTCCAGGCAAGAGCCTGCACAGAAGCCCAAGAGAGCTTAATGTTTATATTACCATTAAATATGGTTTAAAATGTGCAGAAGACCCAAGCCGGTGAGAGATCACTGACTCAGGTCTGACAACTAGGGAACCTTCATAAGACCAAACTAGACTCCCTGAATATAGGTGACAATGGTGAGGCTGGGGCAATATATGAAGCCACTGGCAGTGGGTCCAAGATCTAACTCTAATGCACAAACTGACTTAGTGGCGCCCTTTCTATATGGAGAGATGCCTTGCTCAGCCTAGACATGGTGGGGGTGGATGGTGTGCTTTGGTCCTGCCTCAATGAGATGATGGGACAGACTTCCTAGGGGAGGCCTTACCCTATCTGAGGAGCAGATGGGAAGTGGGGGGGGGGAGAGAAAGGAGGAGGGAACTGGGATTGTAATGTAAAAAAAAATATTAAAAAATATGCAGGAGGATGCTTGACATCCTTCCTAGAATCAAAATGCTTTGTGTGACAAGTGTTTGGGGTGATGTCTGTTTTAGAACTAAGCCCAGCATCACACAGTACCCCTCACCCTGTGCTGCTGGCTCTGCGCTGCAGGTGTGTGTTAGTTCTCCAGGGAGCAACTCAGAACTTGATCAGTCTGGGACATAGAGCTAGTCTACAGATAGCTAACCCTCAAGAGAAAAGAAGAGGAGGTTCCAGAGTAAAACAGGAGGGGACCTCGAGGATAGGCACTTGGGTCTGCTTCAGCAATGACTGGTCTGACTGGAACCAGATGAGAGGCATCGATTAACGTGGCACACAAACCGTTTGAGAATGGACTTCCTGTGGATCAAGGAAAAGCTTTCCTTACAGGTCTTCTGGTCTGGGCCTGAGCAATTGCAACTGGAAAGCGATTGAACAGACAGACAGGTAATTTCCACAGACAGGACCCCTTTATTTGGAAGCCATACCCAGCCACCACATTCAATAGCATATTTCAGAATGGCCTCAGCTTCTCATTAGAGAGCCAAAACAGGCTGATGAACTTTATTCCATTTAAGAAAAGCTCCAAGAAAGTAGAGTACAAAGTGAATGAAGAGGCCCAAATAGCAAGATACACTTTGACATGATTTTTTTTTTTTTTTTTTTGTAGTGCTGGGGAGGGAACCCAGGGCCTTGGTAGATGTTGGTAGATGTTCTATCATGAAACCACATCCCAGATCCCAATACATATATATTGCTTTATTTCATATTTCATATTTCAGTGTCACTAGTCAAGGAAGAACTATAATTATAATAAATATATTTTGTAGTACAAAGAAAAGTTTCTGTGCTGCAAGAAAGTACAGATGTCACTGACTTAAAAATGCAAAGGGTTTGTTATAAAAAAAAACAAAAACAAAAACACACACACAAGAAGATTCAGCACATGGTCAGTGTACCCTAATATTGAAAACATTAACTACTTTAAAAAAATTAAGGAATTGAAAGGGGTGGGAGAGTTCTGAGCTGGTTATCTAGTGTCCCTCCTCTGTCTGCTCCAGTGGCCTGGAGCATTCTCTTGCCACAATGGCACAAAACATATCATCCTGAGAATAAAAAAGGGGGGGGGGACAGAAAAAGCAGTGTCTTCAACAAGTCACAAAGACAGTGTCTTTACCCAGCATCCTTGTAACCTTGAGCAATCAGTCTGGGCCTGGTTTCCAAGCACTGAAGGACTCTATAGCAGGAACGGAAAAAGCCCAGGCCTAGTTACTAAAAGCCCCAGGCTTAATTGTAGGCTCTCTACTCATGTGGACATCATCCTCAATAGTGTGCTTCCATGGCCATAAAAAGAAAAGAAGAAATTAAGAGCCAGCTGTGGTGGAATGTGCCTATATCCCCCAAAGCTTCAGAGGTAGAGGCAGGAGGTCAAGATATATAAGGTTGTCCTTAGCTATACAGCTAATTTGAGGCCAAACTGGGCTACATGAGATCCTGTCCAAAAAATAAAAATAAAAGCTATTTAAATAAGGAACTTCTTTGCTAGAACAAGGCCAGGGCCATGGTGCTGGGCTAAGCACCATGCAGAGGCGCCAGCACCCCAGAGATCCTATTGAGGACAACCAAGAAAACAGGTGTCCTGGAAGATGACTGCTACTCACAACCTCCTGGACCCCAGTCTCTACCTCTATTACATTCAGAGTGAAGCACAAGTTCAAAACCATGCGTTTCTGCAAGAGCCCTGGAGAGCCACTGCCCTGCACCTGCATGGAGGAATTCAGCTCAGTGCCCAGGGCTTGGCCTTGTAGTCCTCTGGAGCACATAAATGCCTTCAACCCCCAAATGTCTGATTGAACCACTCGGACCCCATAGGACTGATAATAGCGGTACTGCCCTTAACAATTCTTACATTAAAAAGATTTTAATTTAAAAAATGCTATCCAGGAATGGTCAAGGATACCCATGATTACATAGACGCCCCCTCCCTGTGCAGCCTGGACATGCAATGCTCTCAGAGGAGAGCTATACAACTCTCTCTTTAGGGGATACATGCTACACCCTGACTCTAAACAAGAAATTATTGTGGACTATTTCTCTTTCTGAAACAGAAAATATAAAATGCATAAGTTTACTACTTCCATCATCTTCAGCTCCTAGGATGGCTGCACCTCTACCCAGTACTTATTTTCCTCTCTGGGGGACACTGAACGAAAACTACCAAGGAAAAAGTGTGCTTCCAAAGAGGTTCACCACATTGGATCCTAACACAAGACTTGACAGCAAGCCATGTTCTCAGCCTTTGAGAAGGATGCTACATATCAAAAGATCTAGACTCCATGTCTGCCTGACTTGGGGAATCTTCAGAAAGAACCTTTGGAACTTAAGATTCCAGTCCTATGAGAGGATAACCCTGCAAAGAAGGTAAAGCCAAAGCCCGAGGCAGGGCTGTAAACATCATGGTTTTTCTAAGGCCCAACTGGTACATGGCTTTGGCAGCTGTGGTTAATCTCAAAGAGAAGGTGACAGGCATGTTCTGGGAGCACAGGACATATCTTTTCCACATCCTAAGACAAGGTTCTGCAGTCATTGGAAGAGCAAGGAGCACACTGGGAAGAAAAGGACTTCTTTGGCCAGGGCTACAGGGTGGATACTTGGGTAAATCCCCTACCACACTCCTTATTCCCACTGACACACTGAGCACAGGAATGTCCCAACAGGGTGAGGAAGTGATGACACCTCAACCAGTGACTCAGCTCTAAATGGAGCAGAAGCTGTCCTGCAAGGTGTCAAGAAGGTATGAAACCTCTCTGGACTCCCAGTGACATCCTCACTCGATCCTGTGGCCTCCAGTGAAGACTGCCGTGCCTCAAGGAAAAAACCAGGTGAGAGCAAATTAAGTCCCCAAGGAAGTTGAGCCAGGCAGACTGCAGCAGCACCCATGTCTTTGCACCTACGCCTCAGCATTCTGTCCTCACCTCAGCAGGTCTTGGGACAGTCATCAGCTCCTTTGGGGATCAGATTCCCAGAGCCACCCACAAGGATGGACACCCTCCTTCACTGGACTCTTGTCTACCAGAACTACTCACCACCATGTGATTTTGAACTCATAGATGGGGCGTTTGCAGTAGTAGTGGTTGACAAGGTGCTTGTCACACACCCCAATGCACTGGTGGTCCACTGTGAGGCCCTGGGCTGAGAGGTCTGTGACAAGACAGTGCAACAGGTCATACACATCAGCCACTGCCTCCCAGGGCCCAAAAGACACATCCACTTCACAGTGGTGCTCAAAGAGCTGTCCGTCACTCTCACTCCGTTCAAAGCGAAGGGAGCTGAGGAGTGGACACTCATAGGGGGTGATGGGCATCTCTTCCTTGAAGACACAGACTTTGAGCTTGGCAAAGCGGGCCTTCCGCTGCACTGCACGCAGCCGAGCAATCTCCACGATCCGCTCCAAATGGTCTAGAGTTTAACACAATAGCCATCAATAGACAGAGGGGAGAGAGACACACCAACAAGACAGAGATGTACAACCAGTGACAGGATGCAAAGGGAAAGAAGCTGACTTAATGGGGGACTCCATGGACCCAGGAAGGGCACACTTCAATAAGGCCCATGGTTTTCCAAAGCTAGGAAACCCACACAGGATGAGGGCTATCCTCTTGAAATTTTATCTGCTGGCTGTCCTGGGAGGATGGAGGAGGAAGGGATGTCCTTCCCAACTTGAAAGGTCCCAGTGTCACTGAAAGGGGGGAACATTTTCTCTTAATCTGGATGAATGTTGGACCCAACTGCTTTTAGGAAAGGCCTAGGAGCTGAAAGATGCCTTGCAACCCCCTTTCCCAACTGTGCAGGGCAGATGACCCCTCACCTTTGTAATAGGGCATGAGCCCCAGAAAGGCCTGGCGCACCTTCTCTCCCTTCAGTGGTTGCATGTTCTCCAACTGCTCCAAGAGGGGCCCGATGGCATAGTACTGGGCCTCTTTGTACACAGCTCGCACATGCTCCCGGGGTGGCAGATCCCCTGAACGAAGGAAGTTCAGCACATCTCTGTGCAGGAAAAGGGGTGAAAAGGAGATAAAGACCAAGGGGTAGGTTGGGAGGCTATCAGGGCATCAAGAGCAGATTTTGGGCCACATTGCCAGCTATATAACTTAAGTTAAGTGAACTTGACCTTTGTGTGCCTTTGTGTGTGATCATGTGCAAAATAAATGAAAGAAAAAATGAAAGAAAATCAGAAAATTACCTTGGGTGGTAGTGGCACATGCCTTTAATCCCAGCACTTGGCAGAGGCAGGAGGATTTCTGAGTTTGAGGCTGGCCTGGTCTACAGAGTGAGTTCCAGGACAGACAAGGTTAATACAGAGAAACCTTGTCTCAAAAACAACAACAAAAGTTCAGTCATAAAGTAAGTTCATGTATAATGGAATAAATGTAGTTTTACACAACCAGTATCAACAACAACAAAATTCTATTTGTCTCGCATCCTTACCATTAGTATTATTATTCTGTAGCTATATGGAACTAACTGGTTTCATAACTAAGTAAAGTCATACATAGTTTCTTAAAGTACATTTTCAGTGCTTTTTTTTTTCTTTCTTTTTTGTTTGTTTGTTTGAGATAGGGTTTCTCTGTGTAACTATCCTGGCTGCCTTAGAATTTGACTCAAGACCAGGCTGGCCTCGAACTCAGAGATCCGCCTGCTTCTGCCTCCCAAGTGCTGGGACTAAAGGCATGTGCCACCAACGCCCAACATATTCAGTCCTAATCCTCTTCAGACTCTTTAGTTAGTGCTGAGAGTAGTAATAGGTCTATTGCCAGTAGTTATGGGAAAACCTGTTACATTAACAATTAAACTATAATACGACAAGACTAACACTACTTTTTTGTTTTTATTTTTGTTTGTTTTGTTTTTCAAGACAGGGTTTCTCTGTGTAGCCATGACTGTTCTGGAACTGGCTCTGTAGACCAGGCTGGTCTTGAATTCACAGAGATCTGCCTGTGTCTGTCTCCTGAGTGCTGGGATTAAAGGCGTGCACCACCACCACCTGGTTAACACCAAGTATTAATCCTTCATTAGCCACTAATCATGTGCTACCCATTTGATCCTTTTAATGACATTATAGAGCAGGCTCTCTCTTAGTTCCAAGCCTATAAATGAGGCCCAGCTGGGGTCCAAGAAGGTATAGAAAACATTTGTTGAAGGAGCTACAGCTGGCAAAAGCTCAGGTCCAGTCACAACTGACTCTGAGCCTATAAACAATGGTCCTGACTTCATTAGAAGCAGTCATAGCAAAGTGCTGTATGCACAAGGAGGGACTCCTACAGAGGCACAAGCAGCCCCCATGATGGGAGTGTTGATGCATAAGCTACAACAGCAGAGATGTGTGTACCCTTCCTAATACTCTGAATTCATACTTTGAATCTCTGAAAAACTCCATCTACTGTAGACAAACCCCAGAGTATGGAACTCCAGTAGCCCAAGCATGAATGCCACTACATCTTGCTTTCTGTTATATTTTTTTGCCACTTTCCAGGCAAGGCCAACAAGCCACTAGCATATAAGCCTCAATTTGGATCCTGTTCTCCCTCCCTACCCTTTTGAAGATTTTTTACTATTTTTCACTGTCTGGTGTGCGGGAGAGTGTGGATATGTGCACAGAGTGCAGGAACAGTGTAGAGGGTAAAAGTGTCAGATCCCTTGGAACTGAAGTTACAAGCTATTGGGAGCCACTTGACATGGGTGCTGGGACCTGAACTCAGGTCCTCTGCAAGAGCAGTACACACTCTTCACCTCCAATCTTGCTAGCTACTCCCACCCACTTCAATTCAGTCCTCTGGGATTTTCAATAAACCCTTATGAGCTCTGACAAACAGAACCCTGGGCAAGGCACAGCTAAGAACTGCCAGCTGGGGCCAGAGCTTTCCTCCCCAAATGCCTGCAAACAAAAATCTTTTTATAGTTACAGAGTGATGTGACACTTTGTTTTCTCGCCATCAGAGGCAGCTGATAGCCCACTGGGGAAAACCAGACACTGCAAAATAAGTTATTTGGTCAGAGGCTCCTTTCTAAGGACAAAAATGACCCTTGTAGGCAAACCTTACTGGAGGTCAACACAAAGACATATAGATCAGTTGAAGAGTTTCTGCTTCCCAGGCCAATGGCTCAAGGTCAAAGGCCATGCCAATCCTCTAGTCATCTCCAAAGTTATACTGAAGGAGCAGAGCACTCCAGCCACATGCAAGATGTGACCTAGTTAAGGCCACACTAGGCTCTTTATTTAACCCTCAACAACAAGCCCACCACACAGCTACAATTATTTCTCACATTAACAAGGAAACTGATGGCTAGAGGGATGGCTCAGTGGTTAAGGGTACTTGCTATTCTTCTAGAGGACCCAAGTTCAGTTCTCAGCACCCACAGTGGCAGCTCATAACTGCTGTGACTCCTGTTCTAGGGGATCCAACATCTCATTCCAGCCTCTGAGGGTATCCACACACAAGTGAGACACACGCATAAATAAAAATAAATTTTAAAAAATGCAATGAAATTCAAACAGTCTTTATAAGGTTTGCCAGAAGTGTATTTATATATTTCTTTAGGATATATATCAAATACATTGAGACTGTGGTGTGTGTGTGTGTGTGTGTGTGTGTGTGCATTGTTGTTGTTAAAATCTCAGTAACAATATAGGTTTTCTTAGCAAAATGAAGGAAGGGGTAGCAACCCAGCATCAGCCTTTCTCTTGTCATTTTTTTGTTTTGAACCACTAGAAGCTCAGAACCACTGTTACAGACCATGCTTCCTCCGTGTTGCAGTAGGTAGTGTTGTTTGTTTCAAATGTTGAATCAAGGTCTTATTATATAACCCACACTGGCCTAAAAACACTTGGAATCTTCCTGTTTTCATCCCTCAATGGCTGGGCATACAGCTGAATGCCACCATGCCCAACTTGCATAGTATTATTGAGCCCCAGAATCTAAATGTAAAGGTTTCTCCAAGACTTTTTTTTTTTTTAATTTGTTTATTTTGGCATTCTCTGACTCCAAGTGCATTCCTCTACATACCCATATAGAGAATGACTCCCCAAGTCTCAGACTGAACAGGACAGGAAAAGTTCCATAAAATCCTGCCAGTATGGAAGTTTCTTGGCCAGGCAGTGGTGTCCCATGCCTTTAGTCCCAGAACTTCAGAGGTAGAGGCAGGAGGATCTCTAAGTTTAAGGCCAGCCTGGTCTGCAGAGAGAGTTCCAAGACAGCCAGGACTATTTCACAGAGAAACCCTGTCTCAAAAAAAAATTTTTTTTTCTTGCTATACTTACCTGATCTGGCAAAGCATTTTAAAATTCCACCATTAGGTTATCTTCTCTGGTACCATGGAATATGTCAACACCCAAGATAGAACCCCAGGTTACTTGCTTGCTGTGACTATGGAGCTGATTGTAGAGGAAGAGACATACCCAAAGTGCGTGCCATCTCGGTCAATGAAGTACCGGCCCTCAGAGTCTGTTGGTATGTAATGTCGTCCACTGAACATGGCAGCCAACATGGTGTCTTCATAGCGCCTCAGGGTAGACAGGCGTGTAGTAAAGTGAGCCCCTCCAATGTTAAGTGGGACAACCTCAGGAAACTGGAAAGGAAGCACCATAGCTTTCAGACTGGCAAAGTAACGAAAGAGCTGGGCTCCTTCACAGAAGTCTGCCTAGATCTGATTAATGTCATACCATTCACTCAGTCATTCCAAAATCATCTGAACACTGTTTCCTCTTCCCTTGAGTATCAATCACCAAGCTGTCATTCCACCTGACAGCTCTTAAATCAGGTCCTTCTTCAGCCCAACCCCACAACCTCTGCTCAGATTTCATCATCTTCTCCGTCCCAAACCTATCATCTCCATGTCCTTATTCATGCTGTCTCCTTGGCCACAAAGACTCTCACTAGCCTCCTCCTGTCCAGCTAGCAAATGCAATTGCCAAATGTGGAGGTATAGGTTGTTGATGTGTAAGACCTGGATGAGCATTACCTGTCAACCCAGGTGTGTGCCATTTTCAGATTTACACCAAGGCACCAGGTCAGCTATCAGCATTGGTTTATTCTCTAAGTTTCTGTGACCACTACTGCTCTGTCATCCTTCACATGTCCCCAAGACAGAATTATGTACATAGTCCTCCATTATGGCCTTGAATACATGTCACAATTTCCTGTGTTACAGCACCTAGAACAATACAGTGGCAATCTTTTTCCTGTCAATCCATTTTACTAGATGCCAGGCATCCCAAAGGCATAAAGATGGTGTGTACTCGCCAGTTGTGAACAGAGACCAATAGCTGCTTTCAAATGCATCGGGGCATCTGGTGCTCATTCCTTTCTTCTCATTCAGGGACTTCACATGCTATGCAGGAGCTCTACTGCTGAGAGTGAATCTCACTGTCTACCGTGCTCCATTCCTCTCCTGCTCAATCTATAGTGATTGATTAATCTGCAAGTCAACAAAGGCTTGGTGGGAAGCGAGGACTGTCCAGGTTAGCTTGGGACCCACAAGGTTCCCTTCCTGAAATGCTAAAGAATTAAAAAAAAAAAAAAACTTTCAATGCTCTATTTTCTCCAAACTATATATGAAAGAACTGTTTCCAATTCTAACTTTCCCACAAACTGCCTCCAAATCAACTCAAATTTTATCCCAGTATAAGTGTTATTTCTTTTTCAACGTTATGACATCATTCTAGCTTTGCTGAAAATCTAAGGTCTATATAGCCATCTAAACAGTCCTTTTCCCCAGTTTTCACAAATCCTTTGTGGGTTTTTTTGTTTGTTTGTTTTAAAACACAGCTGAGAATGGTGTCACACACCTTTATTCCTAGCAACTTGGGAGGCAGAGGCAGGATACTCTCTGTGAAGCCACCCTGGTTCTACACAGTGAGAGACAGGCTAATCAGGGCTACATAGAGAGGCACTGTCCCATGAAAAATAAAAGATACAAATGATGAAATAAAACTTATTTACCTAAGACCTGCCTTACAGTAAAAACTAAAATCCACAAAATCAATTAATGTAATACACAGGATTTGCAATTCTAAGTATGAACTCAACTCTTTTCTTTGAGATTCATCTCACTATGTAGCCTTGGCTATCCTGGAACTCACAAAAATCCATCAGCCTGTACCTCTGGAGTTTTGCAATTAAAGGTGTACATCTACCAAATTTCAACTCTTTTGTTTGTTTGTTTTGTTTTGTTTTTTGAGACAGGGTTTCTCTGTGTAGCTTTGGAGCCTGTCCCGGAACTTGTACTGTAGACCAGGCTGGCCTCAAACACACAGAGATCTGCCTGTCTCTGCCTCCCAAGTGCTGGGCTTAAAGGCATGTGCCACCAATGCCCAGCTGCAAATTTCAACTCTTACAGTGCAAAATGCCTTCTGCTTTTCTACAGAAACTCTAACCCCATTCTGTGTACATGGCAAGGCTCAAATATCATTTTGGTATAATGTTTTGCACATCTGCAGTTATGTTTTAGAAGTAGTTCATACTAACCCACGTTTTTGCACCATAATATGTGAAACAAACAAACAAAAAAACTGAAAAGAAGCCGGGCGTTGGTGGCACACGCCTTTAATCCCAGCACTCAGGAGGCAGAGGCAGGTGGATCTCTGTGAGTTCGAGGCCAGCCTGGTCTACAGAGTGAGTTCCAGGATAGGCTCCAGGCAATACAGAGAAACCCTGTCTGGAGAAAAACAAACACAACTGAAAAGAGTTCTAGATATCGCATAGAGGGATGTGATTCATAGGAAGCTGGGACAGAACACCTGGCTTGCAGTCTGTGGGGTTGTGTGCCCTTTCCCTCAAACTGCATCTTTTGCCCAGTGACAGTGCACAAAAAAAAAAGCACTATTATATCTTTATTGGCTCTTTTCCCTGACTGCAGAGTTATGGATAGATTTTTACTAATTACAAGTTTCCCATGAATCTGGCAATGCAGGGCTTCTAACCCTAACACAAAGTATTATGCAGTATCTGCTGCCTGGGAGCCTCACCCAGCCAGCCCCTTCAGGGAACTCTGCTGAAATTCCACTTCTGCATCCATCCTCCTGTTTATAGCGAGGATCATTTCAGGTGCAAAGTGTCACCCACAAGAAGGGCTACTAATGAAGACACAGTGTGCCACAGTACTGCAACAGATGAAGCCGTCGGTGCCCTCCTCCTATTTCCCGAACTTATCATCTTTATGTCCTTGTTCATGCTGTTTCCTTTGCCCCAAATGCTCTAGCACTCATTTCTGTCCATCTAGCAAATGAAATCGCGCCCGTGTGGTAATAATGTAGGTTGTTCACTGCATGAAAGCAAGTGGATGGGAGTAGTCGGCCCACTAGGGTGTGTCCTTTTCCTAAACCCTACCAAAGCACTGTGTAGGTGATCTGAACAGAGCTTCTTACACCACTCCCTGGTCAGCTGGAGAACACACCTGGGCAACCCAGGGCCTCCTTCTGGATTGTAGGGAACATGCTATGTTGAAGATTCCGGGGTCCTCCTTTAGTTGATAAAGCTAAGATGGGATACAGGAATGGAATTGAACATCCTGGTAGCTGCTGAGTATGGGAAGGAGGCACGCGGGATGCAGGTGACCCCGGTCGGGCAGGGAGGACACACCTAGTGCAGGAGAGGCATCAGGGGTGGCTAGCTCCTAGGGAGGCTCACCTCCCAAGGTCAGTTCTACAAGCACCAGTCTCTCCTGTGCTTCCATCAGTCCTCCCTTCCCCCCCATCGCTAGGTCCAGGTACCTCCTGGGGCAGCAGGGGCAGCCCGTGCCCCGCCTGCGTGGCCGTAGGAGTGGCGGGCTCCAGGAAGTCGTCTTCGGCTTCGGAGCTGGACATGGCACCGTCCCAGTGACGGCTGTCTGGCTCCCGCCCGGTGACTACCACCATCCCTCTGGCTCTGGGCGGTGGGCGCGGCTTCGGGTAGGCGGGTGGGCGGAGGAGTGAGGAACTAAAGCCAAGCAGTGCCTGACATGACGAGATGTGCCGCCGGCGGGTGCTAGACGCCGAGGGCCTGCGAGCAGGTAGGATGCGGTGCGCTGTCCTCCTCTAACGACCACCGCGCCTACAGTTAGTCGCCGCTCCGACACGGCCGCCTCCTGCTATTGGCCGAGCCTCCGCTGGCTCCGCCCTGATTGTCAGGAGGCTCGCCCAATCACAGAGGAAACGGCGGGGCCCTTAAGACGAAGTGGCCCCGGGCCTACCCTACCCTGATTGGCTCTGCGCGCGACGCCTGCCTGCTCCTGGGTTCGGCCAAGGGGAAGTGATCACCAAGCGCCGACCTCGATGGGCCACCACCGCGTGGACCCCGCGCCGCAAATCGGAACCGGGCGCTTCTTGCTATTGTCCGAGATTTCACTGGCTCCCTGCTGTGATTGGCAAGGGCCTCGTCCAATCAGAAGGGAGATACGTTTGGCCGCGAGGCGGGGCAGCGGTTGGTTGCTGGCTTGGCTTGTTCCGCTCTGATTGGCTCTCTGACTAACGGGAGCGCTACCTCCTTTGGTCCAGGCTGCTTACCTAGGACAGCGGTTCTCTCTTCGCGGACTTGTATTTCCGGGCCGCCTCCTGCTATTGGTAGAGTGCGATTGGCCCCGCCCTGCCTGGATGCACATTCAGGCCTTGAGCTAGAGTGACCACTGACAGCCGGTTTGCCGATCGGCCCCACTCTTATTGGCATCTAACTAACGGGCACGCGATCGGCGCTCCTGATGCTCGACGACAGCAGTGGCCCGGGGCGCGGCCACCGCAAGGCCCGACCACCCAATTGCTTCCAGCCATTGGCTGTGTCCTCGCTGGCTCCGCCTCTGATTGGCAGGAAGCTGGTTCATAGGGGCAGCGCCTTGGTCCGGCTTGCATTGTTTGACTCTCTGACTAGCGGGTCTCAAGCTCCAGGCCACCTTGTCTTCACTGGACTCGTGCGTCCTGGGCAGGCGGACGGTACTGGCTTGGTCAGGCTGTCAGTCTCTGAGGATGCGCTGAGGAGGGCTGAGGGCGCAGGCGCTGTAGAAGATGGAAACTGAGCCCCGCAACAACGTGGCTGGCCCTTCTTGAACCACAAGGATATGGCTGCTGTGCTAGGCCTTTTCTGTCGACTCACACAAGAATCTGAATTTTAAAAAAGGGGGGGGGGCTCACACCTTTAATTGCAGCGACTTGGGAAGCTTAGAAGGATTTCTGAGAATTGAACTCTTGTCTAATAATAATAATAATAATAATAATAATAATAATAATAATAATATCAGTCTCTAGTCCTTTTCACATTTTCATTCCAAACAGAGTAGGGGAAGAGGGAGGCATGGTGATTCACACTGTAATCCCAGTTCTTGGGAGATGGTGACAAGAGGCTAGGGAGTCAAGGTCAGCCTCGGCTAATTAGCATGTTTGAATCCATCTTGGATTACATGAGAAAAAAAAAGCCACTTAAAAGGAAAAAAATAAAATAAAAACCACAGAGGGGGAAAAAAAGAAAACCCCAAATAGGAACCATTGAGATCAATGAATGACAGTGCCTCCTGACAGGTTGGCAAAGAAGCTCTATAGGTAGACAAGAGCAAAAGCCAGCAGCCCCAACACCCACCTCCTTATCCCCCCACCCCCAGAAACAGGGTCCCCCTTCTCACTTAGACCTGACCAGACATGCTTCAGCCTTCATGATGCTATGGGTTATCAGCTCCCTCCTATTGTTTAAATTGACCAATCAAAAATAAAGGGATGAAGATTCACCCTATACCATTAACAAAGACTCAAGTCCTCCTTTAGGCTGGATTTCTGAATCCCTTCTCCACTGGCGGGGAGTCTGTGACTTTTGTTGTGTGTGTGACTTCAGTAAAACTTGGCAGACTACAGAGTCCTTGCCTTTCCTGCTTTGTCATTCTTTTCACCTGGACAGAGAAAAAGAATCCTTACCTGCAACTCTAGATGACTCACCATGATGGCATCATTACCTCTGCGCCAGGACACAATTGGAAACAGGCTCTTCCAGAAGGATCTTCCCTGTTAGCCAGATGACCCACTTGACACAACATACCTCAGTCACTCAGTGACTGTGTGACCTTTTTGGGGGGAGGTTCCTTCAGAAAAAGCCTGTGCTTTTCAGTAGTTCCAACAGGCTCTGTTGCTGATCTCAGTAAACTACTTAAAGAGAAAACCAGACAAGGCCACATTGGGAAGAGGAGATGGTAAAGAAGTCCTGTTACCTCCAAGTTCATCTGACAATTGACATGAACTTGAGTTTTAAGTAGATGATGAATTGGAGCAGAGAAAAAGAGATATGCAGAACAAGGCAGCCCCAGTTAAGGTTTGGGTTGTCTTTGTTTTGCTTCTCTAAGGTGGTCTCAAGAAATCCTTTTAGCTTGAGACAAGCTGATTAGGGTTACCCCTGCTCCAGCTGTAGCCTCCCCATCATGGGCAGTTGCCCCCAGGGTCTGTGGGTGGGTGTCTATGCTGTGAATCTCTGCTGTTCCTAGAATCCAAGATGACTTGCAGACTTAAACCAATGACTGAGTACCTGAAAGGGGACAGTGTCCATCTTGTTTCTTTCTGTGTCTCTTAAGACTCCTCACACTCTGCCCTTCTTCTTCCCAGTGTCCTCCTAGTCTGGTTCTCTCACCCAATCTTTTCCTGGCCAGCTATAGGCCAGTCAGCTCTTTATTAACCAATGAGAGTAATACATATTTACAGTGTACAAAGATTGTTCCACAGCAAGTGGCAATCACCTGTAACCCCTGCACATAGGAGACTGGGGCAGGAAGAGTCCGAGGTCAGATTGGGATACATAATGAGACCTAAAAAAAAAAGAATTGAAGTTGTATTTTCATTGGTAGAATACCTACCACGTACTAAGCCCTGGGTTCCACCCCCAGTAATATATTGACTGGATAGTGTGGTAATAATCAAAATAAAACTTGGCCCAATGAGGTGATTCATCAGGTCAAGGCACTTGCCACCAACCCTGGAGCCCACACGGTGGGGGAGAAAAACTCCTGAAAGTTGTCCTCCAACTTCCACACCCACAGCACAGCATACAAGTGGGCATGTGCACATAAACAAAGAAATATAAAAATAAAGCATAACTCCCGGCACTCAGGAGGTAGAAGCAGGAGGATCAGAAGTTGAAGGTCACCCTCAGCTACCCAGCAGGTTTGTAGCCAGGCTGAGCTATGTGAGACCCTGGCTCAAAAAAAAAAAAAAAAAAAAAAAAAAAAAGGGGGGGGGGGGCGGGGGGCACC